CACAGGGCAAGGTCTTACCCAATTCTACTCATTTTTCAAGACCCAGCTCAAATGTCACGTTCTTGCAAATCTTTCCTGAACTCTGCTGTTTCGGTCTGTTACTACATGGCTGATAGAAATACTCAGACTGGATGGTTTATAAAGTTTGCTGAGTTGCAATTCTGGTGGCTGGAAACTCCAAATGTTACCGGCCAACTAAGTCTGGCTGCTTCTTTTCATGGTCAATAAAACAAGTCACAGAGGCTGGAGAAGAAGGAGTTCATTTTTGTAACCAGTTACAGGGTGACAGTCAGTAAGCACCATCAAACTGTCTCAAAAAGTGCAACATGTTCTCGGTATTTATGATACGAGCTGGTACAAATCATTCCTTGCTACAGTCGATCAGAGTCAATCACTTTCCCCTAAGTAATCATCCTGATTCCTGTTTTATTTCTTTTTTAAGCTTTCATTTTAAAGAATTATTTTAATTTAAATTCATTTGTTATTATTATTTTCCAATTTGATCAGATAGAGAGAGAGAGGGGGAAAGTGAGAAAGCAAGCCACCAGGTCCGGGACTTGAACTGTGGTTGGCCATGTGGGAGTCCAGCGCCTTTAATCACCATGCCACCTGCTAGCCCTGTTTCCTGTTTTATTTCAAAATCTCATTTCCTTACCTCATAGACACACCAGACCTCACTCATGGGGGTCCTATGCTAATGATTTTATCACACTCAAATGCTCCACCTTGGGATACCACGAGGGGATTAAGTTTTCACTTAGTACCTTTACAATATACAACAAAGTCTGACATACAATTTTTGGGGGGACATTCACTCACCACTCACTAAGACCAAATTCGAAAACATGAACCTTTGGGGGACAAACCGTTATTCAAACTACAACATCCTCCTAATATTTCATACGAAGTAGAAATAACTTCTCCCTTTTTTTGAACTCCAATAGCACACGAACTGTATGTCTTTAGCTGTTTTTTTTTTTTTTTTTTTTTTTTTTTTTTTTAAAAAAAAAAAACTATCCAGTCAGTTAGTTTCTAATCAATTAACATTCAAGGTTGATTGATATGTGAAGATTTACTCCTGTCATTTCATATTTCCTAGTTTTCATTTATTCCTGCCTTTTTAGTTTTGGGGCTTGATGATTTTTTCTAATGTTAAGGATTTTCTTTCTCACTTGTGTATATTCTCTACCAGTGAGTTTTATACTGTCATGTGTTTCCATGATAATAGTTATCCTTTTGCTCTCAAATATAGCACCCTCTTAAGCATTTCTTGTATAGCTGGTTTAGTGGAAGGACCGGCAGATGGTGTAACAGTTATGTTGTTGGTCTCCCGTATGGTGGACCACGGTTTGAGTTCCAGACCTGGAGGCTTAAAACTCACTCTGGGCATGTGTGTGCCCCAAATCCCAAGAGGATAATGAAGGAAAAGTGTGTGGCATGGCCATCCCTCAGGGGGTGATTTCTCACTTTTTGTCTCTCTGTCTCTGCTTCTCT